TTTAAGGGTAAACACAAACGAAAAGCGTTACAAAAATGTTTATTGGGATGCTGACCCAACTGTGGACAACGACAGCCCAATTGATTTGTTATTGGGTGTAGCTGATTACACTCGAATTTTGAAAAATGGGCTGATTAAAGGAGCTGACGACGAACCAGTTGCCCAAAATTCAGAATTTGGATGGCTTGTTATGGGTCCGCAACGTGAAGACAAGAAAGAAAATTTTAAAGTAACGTCACTAATTTCGAATTTGAAAATTGAAAATCAGTTGAAAGATTTTTTCACGGCTGAAAATATTGACAGCGAAGATGAAAACGAAGATGGAATGACTGCAGAGGAGCAGTATTGTGAAGATATTTTTGTGAAAACGACGAAAAGAGAAGCGGATGGGCGTTTTGTCACGTCGATTTCATTTAAAAACGGACAAGAGCCGAAGTTCGGTGACTCAAAAAAAGCAGCGTTGGCAACATTATTTCAATCAGAAAAACGCTTCGAAAAATATCCAAATGTGAAACAACAATATGTGGAGGCAATGACCGAAGCAATTGCGAGCGGTCATATGAAATTAATGGAAAATGTGCCAGAGCAGGCATACTACGTGCCTCACCATGCAGTTTTCAAACAAAGTTCAACGACTCAATTGCGACCTGTGTACAATGCATCGAAAAATCATCAAATGGATTATCATTAAATGAACAAGTTGCAATGGGCAAAATAGACCAGCCTGACATGTTGACAATTATTCTTCGATGGAGAAAATTTAAAATTGGAATTTTGGCCGACTTGGAAAAAATGTATAAGCAAGTGAAAATTCCGCCAGAGCAATATCATTTGCAGTTGATATTGTGGCGCGAAAATCCCAACGAAAAAATCAAAACGTATGCGATGACAACAGTAACGTTTGGAGTCGCACCGTCACCGTATTTGGCAATTAGAGTGTTGAAAGAAATTGCAAAGTTAGCTGAAACGAATCGACCGATGGCAGCAGAAGCCATCAGAATGTGTTTTTATGTTGACAATTTTTCGGGCGGTGCAAATACGATTGAAAAAGCAAAAAATTTGTGCGCTCAGTTAATAAAAACCTTTGAAGAATCGAAATTTAACCTTCGTAAATTTGCTTGTAACGCGAGTGAAGTAATAAATGAAATACCGAACGAGAAACGAGAAAAAATAGACAAAAACGTAGTGTCAGCTCTTGGAGTTCAATGGAACCCAATGGCCGACCAATTTAATTTCGAATTAAAAACAATAAACAAACGACCGAAAACGAAACGTGAACTTTTTTCCCAAATCGCGATGCTGTATGATCCCGTTGGGTTTTTAGCACCAGTGATTATAAAAGCCCGCATTTTGATGCAAAATGCGTGGAAAGAAAGCGTCGAGTGGGACGACAAAATGTCCGAAAAGACAATTGATGAGTGGGAAAAAATGAAAGAAGTGATGCCATTAATCAAAAGCATCGTTGTTCCACGATGGGTTGGCATCGGCCCAAAGGTGAAAACACAATTGCACGGTTTTTGTGACGCCAGTGAGGACGCTTATTGTGCAACGATATATGTGAAAAGTATTAACAACGATAGTGTCGATATAGAATTTCTTGTTGCGAAAACAAGAGTATCACCAAAAAAGAACAAGTAGACCATTCCAAAATTGGAATTATGTGGAGCGTTATTATTGACACGATTGATAAAAATTGCAACGACAGCATTACAAATGAATGACATCGATGTGTATTTGTGGTGCGATTCGAAAATCGTTTTGGCATGGATCGACTCATGTCCAAAAAAATGGAAAAAATTTGTATCATCACGAGTGGAAAAAATTCATAAATTGAAAAATGCAACCTGGTGCCACATACCGGGTGAAATGAATCCGGCAGATTGCGGATCGAGAGGCATATTCGCAAATGAGCTAATAAATCATCGATTGTGGTGGCATGGCCCGCAATTTCTAAAAGACACACACGATTATAATGTGTTCATTAACCATAAAGTGTTGTCACTTTATGAAGAAAAAAAAGTATGTGTGTTGATAACGAATGAAAAAGAAAGAGTCAAATTACCTAATGTATCAACGTTCTTTGAAGTGAGGAAAGTGATGGCATTTGTGTTACGTTTTATTCAAAACATAAAAAAAAGAAAAGAGGCAAAAATAGGCCCAATTACGGAAAAAGAGCTGAAAAAAGCAGAAAAAGTTTCAAATAAAATCGCACAAAATGAGCGCACAAGTGACGAAATTAGTCCAATAAGTGTTGATGAAATGGCAAAAGCAGAACTGATTGTAATAAAAATGAAGCAAAACGAACATTTCAGTGAAGAAATAGAAGCATTGTCACATGGTAATGATATAAAAAAATCAAGCTCTTTGTACCCATTGGCCGTGTTCATCGATAATAATGGGATTTTGCGTGTGGGTGGAAGGCTAAAAAACTCAGAAATGCCATTCGACGCAAAACATCAAATTATTTTGCCGAAAAACGACGATTTAACCACACTGGTTATAAGAGAAAGGCACCAAATAATGCTGCACGGCGGTCCAAAATTGACGGAATCATGTGTTCGTAGGAAATTTTGGATCGTAAACAGCCAAACGGCAATAAAAAGGGAGCTTCGAGAATGTGCGAAGTGTGCAAACGAACATCCGCAGGTAATGCAGCAATTTATGGCTGATTTACCAGCTGCGCGTGTCGAGAGAGTTGAGAAAGTATTTCTCAAATGCGCAGTGGATTTTGCGGGTCCGATTAAAGTTAAAACATCAAAACTACGAAACGCAAAGGCAGTCAAGGGCTATATTGCGATTTTTGTATGCTTTGTCACAAAAGCCATACATATCGAGCTTGTGGGTGAGCTAACGGCGGAGAGTTTTGTGGCAGCGCTTCGGAGATTCGTTGCGCGTCGCGGACGCGTATCGGATATTTCATCAGACAATGGACCCAATTTTGTAAAATCAGAAAAATTTTTAAAAGAATTGTCAAAAATTGAATTAGAGCAATTCCAAACGACGATAAACAACGAACTTTTACGTCTTGAAATAAAATGGCATTTCACGCCGCCTGCGAGTCCACATTTTAATGGGCTTGTCGAGGCAGCGGTGAAAACAACAAAATATCACCTGAAACGACAAATTGGTGATAGCGCGTTAACGGTGGAAGAATGGACGACATTACTCTGCCAAATCGAAGCGGTAGCCAATTCAAGACCAATCTGCGAAATGAGCAACGATCCAAATGACACTACGGTGCTAACTCCAGCACTTTTCCTTAATTTGACACCAATGGTTATGGTACCAGATGAGGATTTGTCAGAAAGTAAGTCAAGCTATCTGACAAGATGGAAACAAGTGCAGAACTTACAGTAAAAGTTCTGGAGAAGTTCTACATACTTGAGTATGTTAAGTACATACTTGAGTATGTTAAGTACATACTTAAGTATGTTAAGTACATACTTAAGTATATACTTAAGCTTAGATACGAGGCTTAAGTACGTCTCAAGTCACTTAATTAAACTCAAGTATGTTAAGTACGTACTTAAGGGTAATTAGATTCTACGAACGAACGAACAAACGAACATGTTCGTAGATTCTACGAACGAACGAACGAGCGCTCGTTGACCGCTCTGCCGCTAACCTACCTTTTTTTCGTACAAATCGGTATTGAATAGTGATTCTGATAGCAAATGTGATAGCGTCTTTGAATTCTCATTTATTCTCAACAATTTGGATTTTCTCGAGTTGGAAGGGGATGGATTTTACTACGAAATCGAAGACTTGTGTGAAACTACAAAGAATACAGATCTAGAATCATTCACAAATCAAATTGTTGGAACAGAATTCTTAAATGATTTGTCAATCGATATGTTCATTATAAATTTGGTGAACGCAAACAGAACCATACCATTCAACGTGCATCCAGTCTGCTATGGACAAAAACAAGAGTGATAAAGGGTGTCCCAAAAGTACCTGACCGATTTCTTTTTTGAAAAAAATCTGCAATTACCGACGGATTTTTGTCAAATTTGACAGGTGACGTCTCAAAACTATAGGATTTAGTTCTGATAGGGCTTCCGACCCAATACATGACAGACAAACTAGTAATCGAATCCTAAGTTTCACACTACAAAAACAGTCCTCCCTTAATATTACAAGGTATAAGTACCGAAGGACTTTTCGGTATCATGCACCGTCTTTTTGGATATGGTTTGTTCAAAGAACTCTTTCCTTCCATCTTATACTTTATTTTCACCGAGAAACTGATTAGAAATTTTGAATAGTTTACGAGATATCGTTATTGAGCCAATTTCGGCTCGTTTTGGCCGTTTTGGCCAAATTGGTCACGACCGGGACAAGAAAAATTTAAAATTTTAAATCAAATTAACGGTCTAGGACTTGACGAACATATCACATTAGAATTTTTTTTTCCAGTAGCCTTATTTAAAGTGATTTAGAGCAGTTCGTCAACACCTTTGTTGAAAAAACAACATTTTTTGACGAATTTTCCCTAATTTTTGACCGAAATTGATAAATTTTCTCAACAAAACCAATTTAATTCGTACAAAATATTTTTGAAAAATTTTGTATCGAAAGTCCACCACATTTTGGAGTCATTTGAACACGATATTCAATCGATCCATGTCGGAAAAATCAACATTTTCCCGAACTTTAGGGCTCAATTTATGCTCGAAAATAGAAGCCGCTGGTTTGGTCATAAATGGAAAAATCATATGAAATTCAACTCCGAACCAAATCCTATAGTTTTGAGACGTCACCTGTCAAATATGACAAAAATCCGTCGGTAATTGCAGATTTTATTCAAAAAAGAAATCGGTCAGGTACTTTTGGGACATCCTTTACAAACGACTTCTAGCCGAACGAGACGATCTGCAAATAATATACAGCGGCCAGGCCAGCTATGTCTAGCACTATATTTATGCTGAAAATCGTGTGAAGATTTATGACAGTCTACACGGAGAGGGCAATCATGGCAAAAGATTGGACGTATATCAACGAAACATCCCCACTCGCCTGTACCCCGGAGCACAATTCATCGAACCGGCAACGTTGCAACCAGATGGATGTTCCTGTGGCATTTTCTCGATTGCATACGCCACAACCATCGTTTTGGGACACAACCCTGCAACATACCATCTAAAAATCAATCAGCACGAAACAGACAATTTAAAAAATACCAGCGAACTACGAAACCACATCAAAAGAATATACGAAACAAATGAACTACAGCTGTTTCCACAATAAATAATACACACATTATAGTTTTTGTCTAAGTTTTTGGATACTTGTTTTCAAGTGTTGTATCGCAATAATGACCAATTGATTTCGGTTTGGTAACTTTTGTCTAATTTCATCAAAAAAGAAACAAACAAAATTAGTTCATTCAACTTGCTTATTAAACATTTTGTCGAGATAGCTTATTATTTCATTTTTTGATTTAATTAAAATCACAGTTCATTCTCCAAATATTTGACTAATTTGCAGTTCTTCGATTAAAGTTCAACGAGATCAGACTATGTCAGAACCTATGAAGGCTGTTGAATATTTAAAATAATAAACAATTGTAGCAATAATTTTCGATAACTTTCAGTTCTCGCCTCGTTAAAAACCTGGCTCTTTTCGTTTATTTATACCGGTTGATAAATTGACGAGAAGTTTTACGTCTGTAAAGGCAGATCCATGTTGATTGCAGAGTGCATTGAGTCGATATGGACTATGATTTGAAACGTAACTAGAGCATTTGATGTTAATTGATGAATAATTCAAAATTGACTTCAAAAATAAGAATTTTAAGTCGCCAACTCGTAGATGGCTACAACAAAGCAGAAAATCAAAATTTACAATATATAAGTGTAAACATCACAGATAAGTATCATCATTTCAATACACATAAAAGAATGTATGGAAAACAATTCGTCAGTCTTTTGGCATTGATTTTGCTGTGTGATTTGTGCGAGATGAGTTGAATACCACGTGGGTGGTTGGAACCTAGGACAGCCCCGCTCGTGTTTGTTGCAATCAGCAGCAACCCAAAGAATGGCATCTGGGCAATATGCGTTGTCCTTGATCAATTCGTCCGCTTGAGATCATAGATCGGGTTTAACGGCAACATAAAAATCGAAATTTCATAATTAGTGTGGGTGGTATCAAGGTGTTCTCGTAGAGAACATATACAAAAAATGAGGTTACCTGGATAAAAAATTGACTAGGCGGCCAGGTAGTGATTTGAGTTTGCACAGCGATCCAAAAGTAGTGTCCGCCATTCTGCAAGCCGATGATGCAAAATTCGTCTTTGAGGTCGCTGCTGTGAACAGTTCCGGCACCATGTTCGCCATTTTGCACATTTGAGGAATTGGAGCTTCGCGCACCAGCTTCATGTGCTTGTCATTCACCTTGAATTGTTCGCTGTGTCTCAATGAACGCCCATCATTAAGTGAGACTTGGTCACTAACTGTTGGACAGCGTAATTTTCGATAAATTAGCCAGATTAATTATTTACCTTAATTTTCGGTAAATTTTGTAATTTTCTTATGTTTTGTCTCATCTTGTTTACACTGTATTGCAAAATCATCACGAACAAGAACAAAATGATCTGTTTTTTTAAAAAGAAATATTTTATGAAAGATTCTAAGCAAGATCGAAATTAATACATAATAAATCAGTCTTGTTTATACGCCAATTTCAATGACGCGTTGACACATCGACGGCGAAGACTAATCATGTTCAAGTCTGACAATCGCTGCTCGTACGGTGTGATTGAGTATTGGTTGTGCACGGATGGGTATTCTCGACGAGCGTACATAGTGAATTGACGTTGCACGGATTCAATTTTGTCTCTGTAAATTTTGTGGAATGGAAGCCAAACTATGGCGCAGTAATCGAGGTGAGATTGAACTAATGCAAAATACAGCGACTTTAGTGTGGTAACGTCGGTGATATCATGGCAGAAGCGTTTGACAAAGCCAAGTGCAGCCGTTGCCTTCGAAGTGACCATGTCGATGTGTTTGGCAAAAGATAGCTTTCTGTCAATTAGAACACCCAAGTCCTTGTGTTCGGTCACTTTGTCGAAGGTATAGTCGCCATAGGTGTAGAGGCCGCCTTATTTTTGGATGCTTTTTGAAAATGAAATACCAACCGAAATGAAATATCAAATTAAATTTATCCGAATGGAGATTTAGTTTGAAAGATTTTATTTATTGACCACCATTCATTTTTAATGCGATGAATATTACCTCTATTTTTTTAAATAAATGGATCATCGATAAAAAAGTGAAAAAATCTTTTTCGAATTCGTTTCGATCCAGTGCAATTGATTTCATTTTTTGATGTATTGAAATTAATTTGCAGTTTATCCACAAAGTCATGTTTAAAATGCTTGTGGCGTAAAAAATTCACTCCAACACACAGCATGTAGTAGTCAAAATGTGGATAGGGTCAGGTGGGGCAGACGTGTGCAAGGTCAAAAATTCTAGGGGGGGTAAAATGATTTTGCCAGGGGGGGGGGTCTGCAAAGTACAGATAAATCCCGTGTATCATCTCCACTTGTATTGCTTTTTACATTGAAGGGCGTTGCACGCACCCTAACATTTACAATACAAACTCAATGCGAGTGGAGACGCCTTATGAAAAATGGCACAGATTGCTAGTGCTAAGGTTTATCTGTACTTTATAAATGGGTGTGAAAAAAAATGAAGACCTAAAAAAAAAGGTCCTCACTTTTGGAAATCTATTATATCTAGTCGCTGGGGTCTATTCCAAATCGCTGGGGGGGTCCACATTTTGAAATCCTAGAGGGGGGTAAAACCGGAATACCCCCCTTGCACACGTGTGAGGTGGGGTAATTCGCGCCACTTTTTTTTACAATTTTATATTTCCATGAAAATTTAAAAAAAAATCAGGAATGTTTGGTATCATTTTGTACCTTGTCTTTTTACCTAACTTTTATAGAAGAAATGTTTTTGGTTTGATCCCCTTTGGGGTACCATATAGCCCTTGGGGCGAAATCAAAAAATGGTGGGGTAATTCGCGCCGGTGAGGTAATTCGCGCCACCACATGGGGTAATTCGCGCCGGCCGCATTTTCAGTGTTTTAAATGTGTTTATGATCAGAAAAAGTGTTAGTATTAGATTATTACATCCTTCGCTGATGTTGTGTCAAAATTTCATGGAATTTGGACCGCTTGATGCGAAGTTATTACGCCTAAAGTGACACTACCTTTTTTTTATTGGTCGACAGGCGAATTTGGCCCAAAATTCGAAAAAATGACTTTGCGCCGATTTTTGTTTATCTAAGAAGTAGTCCACGCATTGTCAAACCCTTGGTACCGTTGGAAAGGTAATTGAAGGTGCTAC